ACTACTAGCATGAAAATAAACTAAGGGAGAGGTACAATCCATCAAGGAATAAGTATGAACCATCAAAAGACATAACAAGAGCATTCCATTAAGCACTAATGTCTAGCCATCACTAGATTTTCAATTAACCACACATAGACATGCAATTCATATAGAAAAACTAGTGTAGAGATCAATTCCCCAAATAATCACACATAAGACAACATGTAATTAAAATAGACAATCAATGGAAGAATTAACCCATATGAATCATGTGAGACATAATTCCTAATTTAATCACACATAGACATGTAAATAAACTAGAGAATTAATAGGAAGAATTAGACCATGGAAATCATAGAAATATACCAAGATTCATGACATTCACAAGGCTAGAACACTAATCACAACAATATATATATAAATCCCCAAAAATAGAAATACAAGGGTTTAGATTACACAAGACTTAGGGCTCATCCAAGCCCTAAGTGTAGATCTAGTCAATCATGGAGGAGGTGGATGTAGTCATGGAATCAAGCTCCAAACATGGCTCCATCTTCTTCTTCCCCTTCTTCTTCTTCTTCTTTGAAGCTCTAGAGATGGAGAGATAGTGGATTTAGAGATGTGTTCTTGAGATGTGCCTTCACTTCTCTCTTTTCTTCTAACCCTAATCTTTAACTTTTCTAGAGAAATAAAAATTACAATGTAGAAAATAAAATTGATAAAAAGCCTAAAGAATCCCCTTTTTACAAATGGGTTGTTTCCCTTTATATAGAAGGTCATTTTCTTAGTCACTAAGTCTAGAATATATGCCCAAAAATATCTAATCCCGCAACTTTTTGGTAGGTGAACTTTTGGACGCGCACGGAAAAAGTGACAGCTTGCTGCCAGCATGTCCAGTTCGATCGATCCAACTTATTTTCGATCGATCCAACTTTTTCGATCGATCCAACTTCTTTTCGATCGATCCAACTTATTTTTCGATCGATCCAACTTTTCTGATCGATCCAACTTTTCTGATCGATCCAACTAAAAGTTCGATCGATCCAACTTTTTCTGCGATCCATCCAACTTTTCAGCTTTTCAGTATCAGCTTCTTTTTGCTCCAAATCAGCCTCTTTTTGCTCCGAATCATCGTTAAGACTTAGTTTGACTCTAAAAAGGCCTTAAGAACTCATTTTTAGCCCATTTTAACATTATTGACCTGAAATAGACAAAAACACAAATAAGTACTAAAACGGGTAAATAAGATAGATAAAGGTCCTAGAATACTCAAGCTTAAGGGGTTTAAATGTGTACTTTTCAGCGCTCATCATATATATATATATATATATATATATATATATATATATAATGTTGATTAAATTATACATTTTGTAAAAGTTGGTGGACCCACTCTTGTCAATTACTATCACATGTGACAAAAAGGCATTTACAAACCCATCTTTTTTTCCTCAACCAGTTTTCTCTCTCGGCAGTTCTCTCTTTCGCTGCTTGTTTTTTTTTTTTTCTTTTACAACCTTCAACTTTTGATTAGTCCCTCATCTCTTAGTGTTTTTAAGTGTCATTTGAGGCAAAATGAAGCCCACAACGAGCTCTACGCGGTTGTACCAACAATTTCAATTTTAGTGCTCATTTGTGCATTCGAGTTTAGAGACCCACTTTCAAGGGTTTTGTTCAATTTCGAGGTAGGGGCTCTTAATTCATGTTTTTCTTGCTCCATTGTGAATTATATTTCTCTTGTTGTGACAAGCATGTTTAATTTGGAAGTTAATTGTTTCAATGATTATATAAATGATGTTTAGGAAAATTCATGATTATGAATATGAGTAGAAAAGCATGCTTAGAGGTTGTCTTGTTGTGTTTAATGTGTTGATAATTCATTTGGAGATGTTAAACATGATGTCTGTTTAATTTTGTGGTGTAAAATTCTGTGTTGTCTTATTGTGTTTAATGTGTTGATAATTCATTTGGAGATGTTAAATATGATGTATGCTTAATTATGTGGTGTAAAATTCTAAATACCATAATATTAAAAGCATGGGATATATATACATGTACATACCATTGGGTTTGCATGATGTGATGACCCGAATTTTTAGGATTTTAATTTAAATATTTTATAATTTTTGGACTATCTAAATTATTTATTTATTTATTAAAAATTAGTGGGTTTTGAAATTTATTTTAGTTTTATTATAGAATATATATATGTTTATATATATTATAGTTGTGATAAAGGAAGTAAGCAGCAGTGAAATGAGATTTGTAGTTGGTTTGGCGCGGGTCCCATGTTTAAAGATATTAATGGGTTTTGAATTTTTATTTAATTTTGTTATATTATATATATATTCATAAATGTTTTAACAGATGGAGTTATATATATATATATATATATATATATATATATATATATATATATATATATATAGTAAGTTGGAAAGTGGAAAGGGACCACTTGACCGTAATGTTGATAGAAAAAGAAAGATTGAAATTGTGATTTTTGTGGGTCCCATAACATTTGATTTGGTTTGTTTATATATATATATATATTGTCTCTTGGTTTGGAAAAAGATAAGATAATGATGGATTGATTTCTTTGACTTTGGTACAATTCACGTGGGGAGTTTGGGTGCTTGTGCGTGGAATTAAAGGAATGAAAAGAAAGGAGGAGGTGAAATGAATTAATTTTGGCAGACTAATTTTTTGACTTGGGCTTATTTTTGCACCTGGGTCTGTTGGTTGGGTTCTGTACGAGATGGGTGGATTTGCCTTTATATAGGGTGCCTTGTGAATTAGTGAGCAAATGGAGATAGAAAAAAATTAGAGTGAGTCGAGAGAAAACAGAGAGAGATACAGAGAGTTTTGAGACATAGAAAGGAGCTGAGAGTTGCAGAGGGCGCAGCGGAAGCTTGGAGATTTGATGATCCAGTGGAGAAATAATTCTTTTCAGTGTAGGGTTCTCTATACCTTGAATAGCATGGGGAGGTTTTGATTAAATGTTTTAATGAAATGTTTTGATTAAATGCATATTTATTTTGTTTATACTCACCTGTATATGTTTATTTTATGAAGCTGTTTTATTAAACCTTCATGAGATTCTTGTTATGGTTTTTCCTACTGGGACTTTTTGTCTCACCACCCTCCAGTTTCAGGTACCGAGGATGGACGGGGATCGTAGATACGAGCTTAGGATGAAGAGTTAGCGTTACAGGATTTTATATATTTTATTAGAGAATTTTTTGTATATTTGAGGCAATTGATTTTTGTATAAAAGAGAGGACAATTTTTATGATCCTGGGTGTATTTTGATATATTTGTATCTGAATAAATGGAGGATTTTATTGGAATTGTCGGGGCGTGACACATGAAATGGGAGAATTTGCTTGAAACAAAAACGAAAATTTTAGGAAAAGAGTTTTTACGAAATGGTTTTATGAAAACCCGGTCATCGCGAGGGTATCAAAGGGCCGGAGTGTTAATATAATCTAGAGGGAACTAGGGAGTCGCCCTAGCGTGGTTGAGCTAGTTGGGCCCATAATGACGTTGCAGGGGTACCAAGGGTCAGGGACACTAGCCAATCCTCCTCTCGTGCCGCTGCGGGGTCACCAAAGGGCGGGTTGTATTAACAGATTGAAAGTGATGGTTTTGAAATATGAAAATGGGTAGCGACATCGGCATGCATTTGCATTCCATGGCATTGTATTGTTTACACTTGAGTTTGGTTGAAATGTTGTATTATCCCAACATTGTATGATTCTCATTCCTATTGATCTATTCTTTGTATGGACTCACAAGGACACAAGATGCGCGTTTTAAGTGCTACCTACTGAGCTTTATGCTCACCCTATTATTTAATAATTTTTTTTTTCAAGAAACATGAAAGAAGTGGCGGATGACTTTCCACAACAGACCTAATTTGGATTAGAAGACTTCTTTTTGCTATTTTTGTATTAAGTCTCATATATTTGTAAAATCTTAGTTTGTTATATTTGGTATAGAGATTTGTGAACTCTTGTTATTGTAACTATATTTTGGGACTGTAATTATGATAATTTGGATTAAACGATATGTAGATATTCCACAATGAGATAAGTCATGTTGAGGTGTAATGAATTGATGGATGAGATGTTGGAGTATGTTAATTGTATTATGTTTTGGGACAGATTGGAGGTGTTTTGAAAGGCCAGGAAGGGCCATTGTGTTTTTTTTATTATTATTATTTGAGCAGGTGGTTGTGGTCCCCTTTTTAGGGGAGGTCATACCAAATTTTTTTTTTTAAATGGTATCAGTTTAGGGTCATTACACCAACTCTTCAAACAAGTGTGCCTGTATTCGAGCCTCCCTTCCCCTAATTTGCCCGAAGAAACAAATTTCACAAATGAATTTAAATAATACTCCCTCTGTCCCATAATAGTTGGGTGCTAAATTGTTATTAATACTTTATTTCTTTATAAAACATTATGATTAACAAACAAAATAAGAATTAAGAATTGTATTACACATTTTGTATAGAATTTTTTTTTTTTTTTTTTTTTTGTTGAATCATGATATATATCTCAATACTTCTTTTTAAAATAAATTTTGAAAATTTCTTAATAATTATACTATGATTTTATAGTTGAAAATTTTACATTTTAATATTCAAAACTTGTTTAAAATGTGTTCTAAAATAAATTAAAAGTGTTAGATACATTGTCGAAGTATCTGAAAAGTATTTGCAAGCATCCAAGAAGAATCGAACAAGTATCTGCAAGCATCCAAGAAGTGTATACAAACACAATATAAATACGTCATTCCTGTAGAAGTATCTGTGTTTTTCAGTACTAAGACATATTTGAACCAAAAAAAAAAAAAAAAGCCCATGTGAATATGGCTTAATAATATGCGTGTATATTATATATTTAAACGCGCACAATATATATTATATATAAAAGTCACACACCATTAATAGAAGATGACTCCATTGTCAGTGTGAAAGCACTTCCCAAAGTCTCAAAGCAAGACTTAAAAGTCTTCTGAAGGCTTTAAAGGCAAATTTTTCAAAGTTAAATATATATTCTTTTTGCTAGTTAGCCATTTCACGGCAAACTGATCATAACATGCTTAGAATGAGCAGTATGCATAGCACCATATCCTTCAGCTTTAGATGTTCAAATCTCATCATTTTTTTAATATTAGTGTGCTTGTTAGGGTTTCCATATGTGCAATTTGCCAAACTCGGCCTGGCCACTGAAGTTTCCAGCATCACATGCATTGATACAGAGAGGAAAGCTCTTCTCGCCTTCAAACAAAGTCTCACTGATCCTTCAGGTAGACTTTCTTCTTGGACAGGTCAAGATTGCTGCCAATGGAGTGGCATCGGATGCAACGACGTGTCAGGACATGTCGTCAAGCTCGACCTCAGGAACCTATTTCCATCCAGCAGCGAAGGTATTGCTTCAACGGCGCAAGGTAATATGACAGCCTATGAAAGGTCGTTCTTGGGAGGTGAGATAAACCCTTCTTTGCTTGAATTGAAATACTTGAATTATTTGGATTTAAGCCAGAATGGTTTTGAAGGAATTCCCATTCCCAAGTTCTTTGGCGCGATCAAGAACTTGAGGTATCTCAATCTCTCTTTTGCATCATTTGCGGGAGAGATTCCACCTCATATTGGGAATCTGTCGAGCCTGAATTATCTTGATCTCTATGCGGATTCATTGATAAATCTGGGCATGTGGGAATTAAGCTCTGCAAGCTTGCAGTGGCTCTCAGGTCTCTCTTCTTTGACATATCTTAACATGGGACAAGTGAAACTCAGTGATGTTGGAACAGATTGGCTGCAGGCAGTTAATATGCTTCCTAACCTCATCGAGTTGCACTTGCATTCGTGTGATCTTCAGAGGCTTCCGTTTTCGCTCCCATTCGTGAACTTCACCCGGCTTTCAATCCTTGATATCTCAGGAAATTCCATCAACTCGTCAATACCCACCTGGTTGTTTAACCTTACAAGCCTTACAAAACTTGATTTCAACGGGAATTCTTTCAGTGGTGCCATGCCCAGTGAATTTGTGAACTTGATGTCTCTAGAATACCTTGATTTGTCTAGTAATGGGAATATTGGAGGCCGAATACCAAGTTTTTTGGGAAATCTATGCAAGTTAAAAAATTTAGACCTTTCTGGAAACAATTTCAGTGGTGAGATTGTCGAATCCTTTGGTGGATTCTCGGGTTGTCCCAACAGCATCCTAGTATCACTAGACCTGAGTGCTAACCAACTTGAAGGGGAATTGCCTGATTCATTAGGAACACTGGAGAATCTGCAACGGCTTGACCTCAGTTCGAACTCTTTTTGGGGCTCGATCCCAGCAACCATAGGAAGTTTGTCAGCCTTGCAAGAAATGGACCTCTCTTTCAATAGCATGAATGGAACCATTCCTGAAAGTTTCGGACAACTCTCAAAGCTTGTCCATCTTTATCTCATGTCTAATCCTTGGGAAGGTGTTATTACAGAAGTCCAGTTGATGAATCTCACAAGACTAGAACATGTCATAGTAAGAACAAGCACAATCAAGTCCTTGATTTTAAATGTGACATATGAATGGATACCCCCTTTCAGACTCAAGTCACTTGAACTGGAAAACTGCCTAGTAGGTCCCACATTTCCGATGTGGCTTCAAGTTCAAAGTGAATTGACCTCTGTGACACTAAAAAATGTTGGGATTGAAGACATCATACCTCAGGAATGGTTCTCCACGATATCTTCTCAACTTACCTATTTGGACCTCTCTAACAATGGAATCAAGGGGACATTGCCGCACCAGTTAGAATCTCCAAATATAAATGCTATTGACTTGAGTTATAATCGTTTTGAGGGACCTCTCCCACTCTGGTCCACTAATGCACCTCACTTTTATCTTCAGAGCAATTTATTTTCAGGGCCCATTCCAACAAATATTGATGAATTAATGCCGCAATTGGAGTATCTGTATTTCTCGGAGAATCGTCTCAATGGTACGATCCCATCATCAATATGTACAATGAAGGGTTTACAAGTACTTTCCCTCAGGTCCAATCAATTATCCGGGGAGCTCCCTCAGTGTTGGAATGAATCTCAACCCTTGTGGGTCGTGGATGTGGCAAACAATAATCTATCTGGTAATATTCCAAGTTCAATGGGTTTCCTAGGTTCTCTCAATATATTAATGCTGAGCAATAATAGTCTAGAAGGAGAAATTCCTCCTTCTTTGCAGAATTGCTCATTAGCGAGCATTGATCTTGGAGACAATAGATTATCAGGAAACCTACCCCTGTGGATAGGAGAGAATGCAACATTCTTTTGGAGGATTCGATTGCGGTCTAACTCATTCAGCGGAAACATCCCTCGAAAATGGTGTAATCTTCCATTTGTTCACATGCTAGATCTTGGGCACAACAATCTTTCGAGTGTTATTCCAAACTGTTTGGACAATCTGACTTCTTTGTTTTATGGTAATAGTAGCAAAAATCAAAAGGACTTTTTTAGAATCCGCCAGTACTACTACGAAGAACAAGCAACTGTTGTGGCAAAAGGAAGAGAACTTGAATATGGCAGAACTCTTGAATATGTCAATATCATTGATCTTTCAGGAAATAGCCTAGTGGGTGAAATCCCTGAAGGGATAACAAGGCTCACTGCATTGGGAACCTTAAATTTGTCAATGAATCATCTCGATGGATACATCCCAAAGAACATTGGGAATTTGCGTTGGTTGGAGACTTTGGATGTGTCAAACAACAACCTTTCGGGAACAATTCCACAAAGCTTGTCTTCTTTGACCTTCTTGTCTCACTTAAATCTGTCTCATAACAACTTGACAGGGAGAATTCCGTCAGGGAATCAGCTCCAAACGCTCGATGATTTATCTATTTATGAAGGTAACCCTTTACTCTGTGGCCTTCCTCTTCCAACCAAATGTCCAGGTGATGATGATAAATCTACTGTACCTGCTCCCCATGGAAGTTCAGAAGGCATTCACAGTAAAAATGATTCCGAAATGTTATGGTTCTATGTTAGCATGGGATTGGGATTCGTTGTTGGGCTTTGTGGTGTTTGTTGCACTTTGCTGATAAAAGAATCATGGAGGACAGCATATTTTCGATTTGTAAGGATTTTATAGCTGATATATCTGTATCAGATGGGGTTCTCGTCAAGAAATAAGGTCGGAAAGAAACTGTGCGCGTGGATTAGTAATGTTGTAGCTGTATTGTTCATGAACACTTCAGCAGTACTATTCATGTAATTATGTTCTTGTTCTGTACTTTGTCGTGCATTATATAGTATGTTTGTTTTTCCCGTTTCTTTTCATGGTATTAAAGACATGATTTATCGTATAGCTTAACTCAAAAGAACTGTGTGCGTGGATTCGTAATGTTGTAGCTGTATCTGCTCTTCCTAAGACCCAAATACCAGCATCAATTGAGAACTTGTCATTTTCCTAGTACAGAAAAGATGGTTTCTTTATTTCTCTGTTTTAAGTTTTAACTCATGGGAAGGTGGTGTTAAAAAAGCTCATTTCCTAAATCTCACACTGAGGCAGAAGAGTTAAAGGTACATTGGATTATCTTCTAAAACCAAATCCTCGATTTTCAACTGAGTAAAACATAAATCAATCCGTGACAAAACTTAATATAGCATTCTAGAATAAAGGAGGGCCCCTGGTGTCTTAGTCATAGACTTCTTACTGTAAAACCTTTTCCTCATCCAAAATTGCTGAATTATTCAACAAGGAGTTGATTTCGAGCAAATTGACAAAGAATGGGACAAGTTTTATTTATTATTATTTTTTTTTGTAGTATTTGTAAAATCTAATATACATATATATAATAATTTCAATGCGCATTCGTTTTCATTACTGAGATGGATTTGAAGAAATTTGTTAAGAGAGAGAAGGAATATGTGTTGAGATTTCAGATTAGGTTTTATATATGTATGTATATATATATACACACATATAATGACCGAGTTTTTTTTGTAATTTCTCATTTTTTATTGAGGATAAAGAATTTTAGTTTTTATTTTATGCATGCGATGAGTTGACCAGAAAACAGAAGCAGAGGTAAAGGAAGAGAGAACCAAGAAGATAACTAGATAAATAAGTAATTATTAATAGATGGCCCAAATTTTAGTGTGAAAGCACTGCCCAATGTCGCCAAAGCAAGGTTTTCTTATAATTTTGTGACAGATATGTATGTATATACACACTGTCCATCATTGACCCAACCTATTCCTCATTCCCATGCTTAGAATGAGCAGTATGCGGAGCACCATATCCTTCAACTTTAGATGTTCAAATCTCATCATTTCCTTCATATTAGTGTGCTTGTTAGGGTCTCCATATGTGGAGTTCGTCAAACTCAGCCAGGCCACTAAAGTTTCCAACATTTCATGTATTGATACAGAGAGGAAAGCACTTCTCACCTTCAGACAGAGTCTCACAGATCATTCAGGTAGACTTTCTTCTTGGGCAGGTGAAGATTGCTGCCAATGGAGTGGCATTGGATGCGACGAAGTTTCAGGACACCTCATCAAGCTCGACCTCAGGAATCCATTTCCATCCAGCAGTAAAACCAAAAGCTCGTGCTTGGGCGGTGAGATAAACTCTTCTTTGCTTGCATTGAAATACTTGAATTATTTGGATTTAAGCCTGAATGATTTTGAAGGAATTCCAATTCCCGAGTTCTTTGATGGGATCAAGAACTTGAGGTATCTCAATCTCTCGTTTGCATCATTTGCCGGAGAGATTCCACCTCATCTTGGCAATCTGTCAAGCCTGAATTATCTTGATCTCTACGCGAATTCATTGACGAATCGGGGCATGTGGGAATTAACGTCTGCAAGCTTGCAGTGGCTCTCAACTCTCTCTTCTTTGAAGTATCTGAACATGGGAGTAGTGAAACTCAATAATGTTGGAGCAGATTGGCTGCAGGCAGTTAATATGCTTCCTAACCTCGTGGAGTTGCACTTGCCTTCATGTGATCTTCAAAAACTTCCACTCTCGCTCCCATTCGTGAACTTCACCTTGCTTTCGATCCTTGATTTGTCTGATCATTACTTCAACTCATCAATACCCGATTGGTCGTTTAACCTTACAAGCCTTACAAAACTTGATCTCAGCAGCAATTCTCTTAGTGGCGGAATTCCCAGTGAATTTGTGCACTTGATGTCTCTAGAATACCTCGATTTGTCTAGGAATTGGTATATTGGAGGCCGAATACCAAGCTTTTTGGGAAATCTCTGCAGGTTAAAATTTTTAGACCTTGCTGAAAACAAGTTCAGTGGTGAGATTGTTGAATTATTTGGTGGATTCTCAGGTTTGGGTTGTCCCAACAATTTCAGTAGCCTAGTATCACTAGATTTGAGTTATAACAAACTTGAAGGGCAATTGCCTGATTCATTAGGAACAATGGAGAATCTGCAACAGCTTCACCTCCGTAGGAACTCTTTTTGGGGTTCAATTCCGGCATCCATAGGAAGTTTGTCATCCTTGCAAGAGATGGACCTATTACAATACCATGAATGGAACCATTCCTGAGAGTTCTGGACAACTCTCAAAGCTTGTCAATCTTTATCTCACGAAAAATCCTTGGGAAGGAGTCATAACAGAAGTCCAGTTGGTGAATCTCACAAGACTAGAACGTGTAAAACTAAGAACAAGCACAATCAAGTCCTTGATTTTCAATGTGACATATGAATGGGTACCCCCTTTCAGACTCAAGACACTAGAACTGGTAAACTGCCTAGTAGGTCCCAGCTTTCCGGTGTGGCTTCAGGTTCAAAGTGAACTCACCTCTGTGACCCTAAAAAATGTAGGGATTGAAGACATCATACCGGTGGAATGGTTCTGCACCATATCGTCTCAACTTACCCATTTGGACCTCTCTCACAATGGAATCAAGGGGACGTTGCCGCACCAGTTAGAATCTCCAAATATATATGTTATCGACTTGAGTACCAATCATTTTGAGGGACCTCTCCCACTCTGGTCCACTAATGTATCTGAATTTTATTTTCAGAGCAATTTATTTTCTGGGCCAATTCTGACAAATATTGATGAATTAATGCCGCAATTGAAATATCTGTATTTGTCAGAGAACCGTCTCAATGGTACAATCCCTTCGTCGATATGTACAATGAAGGGTTTACAAGTACTTTCTCTCAGGTCCGATCAATTATCCGGGGAGTTCCCTCAATGTTGGAACGAAGCTCAACCTTTGTGGGTCGTGGACGTGGCGAACAATAATCTATCTGGTAATATTTCTAAGTCAATGGGTTTCCTAAGTTCTCTCTATATATTAATGTTGAGTAATAATAGTCTAGAAGGAGAAATTCCTCCTATCTTGCAGAATTGCTCATTGACGCACATTGATCTTGGAGACAATAGATTATCAGGATACCTTCCCTTGTGGATAGGAGAGAATGTAACATCATTTTGGATGATACGTTTGCGGTCCAACTCATTCAGTGGAAACATCCCTCAAAAATGGTGTAATCTTTCAAATCTTCACATCCTAGATCTTGCGCACAACAATCTTTCAAGTGCTATTCCAAACTGTTTGGGCAATCTGACTACTTTGGTTTATGGCGATAGCAGCAGAATGCAAAGCAACTTTTTTGCACAAACAACTGTTGTGACAAAAGGAAGAGAACTTGAATATAGCATTGATCTTTCAAGAAATACCCTAGTGGGTGAAATCCCTAAAGAGATAACAAGCCTCGTTGCATTGGGCACCTTAAATTTTTCAATGAATCATCTCAACGGACACATCCCAAAGAACATTGGGAATTTGCGTTGGTTGGAGACTTTGGATATTTCAAACAACAATCTTTCTGGACCGATTCCACAAAGCTTGTCATCTTTGACCTTCTTGGCTCATTTAAACCTGTCTTATAACAACTTGACATGGAGAATTCCATCGAGAAATCAACTCCAAACACTTGATGATTTATCTATTTATGAAGGTAACCCTTTACTATGCGGTCCTCCTCTTCCAACCAAATGTCCAGGTGATGATGATAAATCCACTTTACCTGCTCCCCGTGAAAGTTCGGAAAGCATTTACAAATGAAAAGGATTCCAAACTGTTATGGTATCATCCCCCAGGTCTCCCAGCCATTAGATGTGGTATTGAGGCCCAACTGGTAGATGATTCAACGGTCGGGAGACCTCGGGGATACGGTACCCCTGAGGTATTGTAGAACTTCTCCTATGTTAGCATGGGATTAGGATTCATTGTTGGACTTTGTGGTGTTTGCTGCACTTTACTGATAAAAGAATCATAGAGAAAAGCATATTTTCGATTTGTAAGGATATGATAGCCAATGTATCCATATCAGATGTGGTTTTCGTCTAAAGAAACTGTGTGGATTCGTAATGTTGTAGCTATATATGGTTCAAGGACAAGCAGCAGTGTTCATATAACTAGATGAGAAGGTCATGCCGTATGTTCCTGTTCTGTAGTTTGTAATATAGTATGCTCGTTTTTTCTCGTTTCTTTTCATGGTATTAAAAACATGACTTATCCTATAGCTCAAGTCAAAAGATCTTTCTTCTAAAAACTAGTAGGGATATGCTCATTTGGGAGGCTTTAAGAACCCAGAACCTTGGAATCTTTTAACACCAAATGAACTCTTCCTAATAGGGGTGCACAAAGAACTAGTGGAATTGTGCTTCGGATCCGGTCTCTAACAGTTCCGGTTCCAAATATTGGAACCGTTGAATTCCGATTCCGGTTCTAGAGTCCGAACCAGAATCGTTAGGAACCGAAACCGGAACCGGAATTGGAACCTGTAACGTTTCCGATTTTCGTCATTTTTCATTTTTCCGGAATTTCATTGACCCAAGGATATTTCGGTCTTTTCACATTTTTCGTACGGGATTGTGGTTGGGTCCAATTGCATTTCATGTATTTTAATTTATGTGATGATGTAGCATTTATAAGGTGGTATGTGTTTATGTGGTGTAGAATTTAAAGACAAAAGAAAAGGAAAAGTCAAAGGACCACCACTATCCCATTTATGGTCTAGAGATCATTTTGCTTCCCATTTTTCTTCTCTCTCCCGTATCTATCTCTCTCTCTCTCTCAAGCTTCCCTTTTCTTTTCATTTTTACATCTAAACTTTGAATCAAAATCGTAGCTTCAATACTTACCGGATTTAAGTGCCGTTTGAGGCAAAACGAAGCCCACGACGAGCTCTACGCGTTGATACCAGCAATTCCAGCTTTGAGCCTCCCTTGATTTTCGAATTCCTTGACCCATTTCAAGGGTTTTGCTCATTTTGAGGTAGGAGCTTCCTAATTCACATAATTCATGCACCTTTGTGAGTTATTCTACTTGAATTGTGTTATAGCATGCTTATTGGTGTTAATTGTAGCCTAAAATGTCTTGATTGTATATATGTGAATATGTGAAGACTTGTCTTGATTGTGTTATATGAGAAGCAGGCTTATATAATGAGTTTTATGCCTATTGTATTGTTCACATGCTATGAATGGTGTATGAAAGCATGTCCTATTGTATTTAGTGATAATCCATTATTGTTTAAATATTAAAAGTATGAGAACTCACTCACTTGTGTTGTGTCAAATTCCTCATTTTCATAATATTGAGATCATGAGACATGCATGTACACCATTGGGTTGCATGAAGGGAAGAAATTGTGTTTGAAATGAAAATGGGGAGTTTTGGGAAAGAATATTTTGATGAAAGTGTTTTGGAAAACCCGGTCGCTGCGAAGTCACCAACGGGCCGGTAGGTTAATGTAACCTAGAGGGAACTAGAGAGATTGCCCTAGCGTGGTTGAGCTATCTGGGCCCCATAATGACGCTGCGAAGTCACCAAAGGTCAGGAACAATAGCTAATCCTTCTCTCGGCGCTGCGGAGTCACCAAAGGGGGTTACATTAACAGTTTGAAAGCGATGATTCTGATTGTGAAAAATGGGGAGCAACATTGGCACGCAGTGCATCTCTATTGCATCTTATTATTTGTGTTGAAAAGGATAACCATGTTGTATTCTCCCCTATGTGGTATAACCCCAACTCCTATTGGCCTATTCTTTGTTTTGGATTCACGGGGTCTCATGAGGTGCGTCTTATGCGTCACCTACTGAGCAAATTGCTCACCCCACTATATTATTATATTTTTCAGGTCACGGCAAAGAAACGACGAATGAAAATCCACCACTGAATTGAAGGAACTTGGAGAATCTATTAGATGTATTTTTTTTGTGTAGAACTTGAATATATCAAGTAAAGTACATGTTCTGAAATGTATCAAGTTTATTTTGGCATGTAAATGATGAAACCTGAATCTAGAATTCATTTTGATGTATAATGACCATGATGTAAAGCCTATGTATTAAATTCATGGATTTGTTTCTCAAAGGATGTTTTAATGTGATTGCGGGTTCGTTCCCTCGTCTTTGATCGTAGAATAACTTTCGGTTGAGGATCCATTTCGAGTTTAAACCATTGACAAGTTTCATTTCCGGTTTCCCTTCCATTTTCATAGTTCAGCAGGTTGACTTCTGGATCCAGGCTCGGCATAGCCATTTCGGTCTACCGAAATGGTGCATCGGTCGACCGAAACAGGATTGATTGCTCTCAGGACCTCTACTTCGGTCGACCGAAATGGGGTTCGATCGACCGAAGCATTTTCTTGCTCTTGGTATCCTCATTTTGGACGACCGAAGCTTCACTTCGGTCGACCGAAATGAAGCTTTTTTTTTGTTAAGCTTTCTTCTCCTCATTGGTTGCTCTCGGGATGTCCATTTCGGACGATCGAAGCTCCACTTCGGTCGACCGAAATGAAGCAGCTTGATTATTCTTCCTTCTTTCTCCGGCGTTTGTTTAATTAAAGCTTTTTTTTGTTAAGCTTTCTTCTCCTCATTGGTTGCTCTCGGGATGTCCATTTCGGACGATCGAAGCTCCACTTCGGTCGACCGAAATGAAGCAGCTTGATTATTCTTCCTTCTTTCTCCGGCGTTTGTTTAATTAAATGACGGATTGGGTGATGGGACGTACTGAAGTTGTTATCCAAGCGTCGTAAAGGTGTGTTGACTATAAAAACGTCGTGATGGACCTAGATAACCTCGGGTTCGAGCAAGGACTCGACTAACGGTTCGGACCTCCGGGTTCAGATCGTTACAGAACCATTTTAATAATAATATATATTATTTTTTAATTATATAATTACTAATATATGTGCTTATATTTACCAATATAGAAATATATATATATGCCTATATTTACCAAAATATTTATATATATATATATGCCTATTGATGCTTGTTTTGGCTCATGGTATTGCTTAAAAAAAAAGGGGAACCGGTTCGGTTCGGTCTAGTTCTAGTTCCATGTCCCAACAATTTCGGTCCGGTTCTAGTTCCATGTCCCAACGATTCTGGTTTCGCCAGAAACTATACCGAACTGAACCGTGTGCACCCCTACTTCCTACAATCCAATACTAGCATCAATTGACAACTTGTTATCTTCCTAGTACACAATGATAATCAGAAGATGGTTTCTTTATTTCTCATTTTTTAAGTTTTAACTCATGGGAAGGTGTAGTTACAAAATCTCATTTCCTGAATCTCACACTATGGCAGAAGAGTTAAAAGGAACATTGGATTATCTTCTAAAACCAAATCCTCGATTTTCATCTGAGTAAAACATAAATCCTTCCTTTCAGCTTCAAATCAATCCACCACAAAACTGCTTAATGGCTTCAAACTCCATATAGACTTCATGCACAACTGTAAAAGAAGCCAACTGAGAGCACTTCCAGCTTAACCTCTCAATTTTAGTGGCTCGCTCAAACTGAAAAAGTTCAGTTTTAGGGTATTAGTGGCTTGCTCAAACTGTTCATTTTCATTTTTTTTTAATCAATGATTGATATAAACTTCATTAGAAAAGCAACACGGGACTGGAAGACAGTCAATGCTGCATACAGGGGATGTCTTTGAACTACGTATAAAGCAAACACCTTCCAGGACCAGCTCAATTTTCTACCTACCAAAACCCATACACCTAGAGTCTTTTCTCCACATTTTAGCAAACAACAAAAACTAGGTATTTTTTTTCCCTATATAACTGAATCCAATTATTTCCACATTTTAGCAAACAACAAAAACTAAGTATTATTTCCTCCTCATCATCACCACTGCCACACGCAGAACTTGCACCACCACTTCTAATGCAGCTTCAGCTCCTTCAATAATTTCCGTAAGAAATAGAAGTATCCACATGCCCACATTATAATTCATAGCACTGTCAAGTGTCAATGTTTTGAGTTCAGGTTCACTAAAAATTAAATTTACAAGTGACTAATCAAAATGAACAATGATTATCAATCAATAAGCAAGACAAAATACTAATTTGTTCATGAATATAGCAAAAACGACCTTCACTCAAATAAACAAGTTTCTACTTATAAAGTCTACTAATTAGCATTTAGTGACAATGACAACTCTGTTCCAATATTCATATCTCAACTATTTAAAGAAAAAAGAAAATTTTAAAAGAAAGATGCTAATATCATAACCAATAAACCGCTGCTCTCACCACGTAGAACATTGCAGACAATGCAACATTGAAGCCAGTGATGCCGATGCCAGTTGTGCAAAGGAGAAATCATTACCATTGCCAGTTATACACAGTTAAATGTGCTTCCTCCTGATCTTGCCCTTGCCATGACGCTTCCCTTTACCCATCTTAAATTTCTTTCTCAACTTCTTCCCTATTTTGCCAACAGGTTTCAAGGACCCCGTGTACTGATTGTCCTCATCCATCTCCACATCTAAGTAGTATAGAGCAATATAATCATAATCAGAACACTAACAGATAATAGGAAACACTACAGTTGATGTAACACTACTTTGGCATGAATACTCAATAGAAAGGGGGAACTGGAAACCACGATGAAACAAAAAGGTTCAATTTCCATTCTGTTTTGGTGTATAATCATTTGTTATGCAGAATTGAATCAACCATATAAACTAATGCATATAAAATCTAGGTAAACAAATCCTGCAATTACCATGAATAAACATCAAGGAGGACCGGAAAGACAGCTCAATTTGAATAGTATCAAGAAAATATGTCTGAAACAGAACATGCACATAATATAATATTTTTTCCGCTTTTTTTTCTTCTGACCAATAAAAAATAAAGGAAGTGCAGTCCATGTAGACAGGAATTTTGCACATCCTTTAAATGGACGAGACAAAAATAATAAATCTCTCTCTCTCTCTCCAACATGGCTATTTTCCTGTTTTCTGATCACTAGCACTATATTTTTTGTTCTGGTCCATTTGGTAGGAGAGAAGAGTCCGATAGCTTTTCTTGTACTGGTGATTGCATATTCGTCTTAGATTCCAGCCATACGTAGACAACTCAAACAAGTTGTCAGGTTTTGGGACGAAATTTTAATGACCAACAAACAATACAGGCAGACAACAACCCACCAAATTTCAACATCTCAAGGTCCAAACCAGGAATCGCTTAAAATTTAAAATTAGGTAAGTAATCTGCGATGTAACTAAATAGGGTTTAAGGAAATCAAGCAAAGGGGATCCAATATTAATATTAAGGGTAGATAGAGGTAGTGGCAGCAATTGGCTTATATCCATTATGGTGGCAATGACGTTATTGTTGTGGAGATGCATGGAAGCCTTGAAACAAGAAGCTATCATCTTGAGCAGTGAGCTCTGCCGCTCCTTCTCATAGAGCTTGGATCCACATTGCAAGACCAATCGTACAAGAAGAAAACTAATGCAACTAGCAAGATAACACATCGTTTATTTAATTATTTTTTCTAACCATCAATAACTTTGCTGGCAATTTAGGAGAAGATAAAATGAATAATGTGTGTAATAACCAAACCTAAGAAGCACTATACAGTCCTAAGAAGAGCCGTGTCCATCTCGGACATAACTTCTTGAACACTCCCAGACACATACCCGAAACTTCAAATCATCTACGATCTAAATTTCAAATTATCAATTTCGAACATATGATTGAAACTTATTGAAAAATATGTTGACATGTGACCAGTAAACCTTGAAATTCTAGAAAGACTTTATGTTAGTACAGAGAAAAAGTATAATTGTAAGAAAAAACAACTGGAAGGTTTACAACAAATGCATATAAAGTTTGACCATATTTTAGAAACAAAAGATATATAAAGGTTTCTATTAAAGGGGTATGTATAGGAGTATGAAAGTCATCAAAATATGTGTACATATAGGTATACATATCTATATACATGAAAAAATATTCAATATAATTTTATATTGTGTCCTTGTTATGTTTTCACCGGTCTGATTATAATTAAATGATTTAATAGTTCTAGGTTTAAATTACACCCATTGAATATTTATTTGCCGTATTTAATTTAATGTATTACTGTGCCCTCAACATGTATGCATTTCATTTTTTTTAGATTTGTCATGTCAACGTGTCTGTGTCGTGTGTATCATGTCCATGTCCCCTATCCATTTCAATGATTCTTCGTACACTATTTTTTGACGCTTTTGAAATTAAAAGAATAAAAAAAAGTGAGTGTCAATAAAGACAATAATATATAGGCTCTTCAATCATAAGGATGGCACCGGCAATACCAACCAAAAAAATTCAAATATCAAAACTCTAAAAACTGCATAACTTATTCATGGTCTTTTGTTTATGGGTTCCGTACTCAAGATCTAATACAAGTTCCACGATCTCAAATGAGCTTATTTCCTAATTAAAACAAATAATATATAATAGTAACTATACTTGCAACCAAATAAAAAATCTTGGAAATACTTGGAAACAAGATTGACAAATCCTTAGTTATTTACATATAACTCCCAGCACAGCTATAAAAACAAATTGGATAAAACATCATTTCTTTGATTTGAACTAAATAACCACAAATCCATTATGCAAAATCCTAATTACTAAAAGCTCAATGCATGTTAAAGCATCAGCATCTCCTAGTTCTTAAGCTTAAGGTGTAGCACAGGAGGCGAGAGACAAGCCTGAGTGAAGCAAGAAGAATGTGTGACAGATGGTTATACTTACTATACTTATAACTTAACGTTGAAACATTTCATGTTCAACAAACTAGTCAAAAATTAAAAAAAAAGAAAGACACTGTTGCATACTAAATCTCTAATTAGTTTGCATATGTATTCCATAAAATCAATCATTTATACAATCTATTGTGTGATACCATGATATAACATATGGTCATTCAAAAAAAAAAGGTAGGTATGATTTAATGATTAAAAAATGAATGTGTATATTTTATTGAGCTTGGAGCCAATAAAAAAGCATGCACTTTAGGGCTTTTTGCACTCTCGACTTGACGGGTTTCACCTCTAATAGAAATAAGGTGCCACAACTGAGATCGAGTATCCCTGGGACTTTTTGGGCCTAGACACGCCTGTAAAGATTATGTGCAAATTGGGTTTAGATTTGTTAAATTGTCCCTTATTCTTGAAACTTTGCTTAATATTTTAGTCAAACAAACAAATCACACTTTAATCATCCCAAACTTCCATTGGGTAATCAAACGAACTGTGCAGGGTTTAAAAAAGAGAGAGAAATCCACATACAAACTATTTGAAGCCCAGCATTATCTACTGATATATTTTCATTCAGTCTAAACAGATAAATATATGCACCAATTTACAACCTGGAAACCCGAGCAGAGGGCACGAATCACACAAAATATATAAACCATTCTAACAAGTTTTACACTTCAGAATGCATTCAACATTTACAACTTTATAGACCTACTTTCTTCTTTTTTTTACAAGTCTTTATAGACCTACCTTAACCCGACATGTAGAATTTGATACTAATGTTATTTTCTTAAATAGCAAGCTCAGTTTAATAAGTTCTCAGGAAATTGTTCATTGGGTTCCTATTGCCTGAGGAGCTAAAGGGAAGCATTGAAATAGTGATTCTGTGCTCACCTTCAATACCCAAATTAGTTAAGCGCAATTTCAATTATTACAAAGAAAATTACACAACCCCAATCTCTCGAATTTACAGATTCCAATTAATAAAGCAAAAACAAATTCAATGAACAAGACAAAACAAACTTAGTAAAAGCACTTACACACATCAACAAAGTAAAAATTTTAAATTATTACAGAAAACAAAACACAGTCAACATATATATCTAAGCATATTAGTGGCGGAATGGATAGAAATGGTTTTAAAGAAACCAACCCATATTCGTATTGGTGGCGGAGGAGGTGGTGGCGGTCAATTCCATGGCGGTGGTGGCGTTGCTGTGATGACGTACGGGTAGTTTGGGAGCGGCGAGGGCGGCTTCTTGAGCGGCAAGCTTTGCGGCTTCCTTCTTCTCGTACAAGGGTTCCACAATCTCTCTCCTTATTGCTCTCAGCCTCTTCTCTCTCTTCGATCTCATAGACTTCGCCATTTTTTTTGCTAGGTGTTTCTGAATCTGATCAACTCTATATCTCTCAACAGTGTCCAATCTCTTTGGCCGCGGCGTTAGGGTTTGTCCAATAAAAGAGGGAGGCCGTGAGGGTTTTAGAAGGGCAGCATCAAAAGAATCTTACCGTGAACCGACAAGTAACTCGGTTATTCTTTTTAGGGTAAAGTACACAAAATTCCTTGAATTAACAAATGCCTCCTGAACTATTAAAAAGTTACAATTAAGGACAACAGGACAGTCCCTGGCCCCGAAAAAACAAGATTACAAAATTACCCTCCACTGAACGGCATCGTTTTGTTCGAGAAAAAATCAACACCTGTGACATACAAATTCATCATTCACACATCAAAACGGTGACCAAATATTTAGTACCGGCGTGAGTGAATAAATCAACACCAATGACCAAAAAAAATCCATCACAACACCGGTGACCAAAAAAAAAAATCCTAAATTGTGTTTGTGTGAGAAGAATTACAGAGGAAAAGATGTCCAAGAAGGTTAGTGTACCAACGGCAATGCGTAACAATCACATAGCACCAGCAGTGATGAGGACGCCGAACACCTCTAGCACCAGCGGCGAAGTGGCGATAAGGACCACGACCACCCCTTTATCCATCCCTCGCCGCACTGTGGATGACATCCTCAATGACTCCGATTCATCTCCACCGTCACGCTCCTACCTTCCACGCTTCCTTCCACGCCCACGCTTCCCATCAGATCGCTCCATCTACAGTGTAACAGAGCTTAGCTCGGCAACGTATCTACCAAACTAGTACACAGAGATCAAGAAAGCTTCAACTTTCGTTTCTCACTGTAAATCAGGAATTTCGCTTATATAGGGTTTGAGGATCACATACAGTGCTTCAATTCTACAATGCCTTGCCCATAATCAAAACGGTGAACATTCAGTCATCCACACAGAGTGCGAGAGAGGACGATTTGCAAGCTTAGGGTTCGAATGCGTGGAGGCAAGGCTTCAATTGCTGCTGTCGATTTGGGGATTTCACTTTTATAGCCTAAACAACAGTGACAGAAGCATCGTTGTAATTGCCTTCGATAGAAAAGATTGAAGCAGTTCCGGTGCTCTTCAAATCTTATCTTCTGCCTTTGATATAATGATAATTGTATCCCTCTCATCTCTTAGAAACTCTTTGCAACTTTCAGTTGTAGGAAAACTCTAAACCCTCTGCAAATTACTACGTGAGTATAAAATTTTGGTTTTGCCAGGAAGAAACATAGCACACCCAAATCATTTACAGAGAGATTGGAGGTGAGATTAGGGTTTGCTAATTTTGCCCTAATAAAATAAGATAAAGGGTAACTTCATCATTTTCAATTTACAGCTATGGTAAGTGATTAACACGCGCCACTTTAACGGGAAGAAACAGTCGGAACCTGGCCGGTGGGTTAATTTTGCAAAAAATTTAATAGTTTAGGGGGTTAACTGTAAAAAGAAAAGTTCAGGGGGTTTTTAGAAAGAGAGAATAAAATTTAGGGGGATTTATTGCACTTTACCCTTTTTTTATCTTACCCATGAACCGACAAGGTAACTCGGTTATTTTTTTTGTCTTACTTGTGAACCGACAAGTTAACTCGGTTATTCCTTTTTATTTATTTAATTTTTTTTGCCTTGACAATAAACACACTTGCGCATAAGAATAATCCTCACTAATCACCATTGTACACTTCAAGAAAAAAAAAGTTTTAAATTTTTACACATTTTCAGCACAATTAGCAAGGGTCCGACAATGAACGACAGGGACCATGTAATAACTTTTTCATGTTAATGGGATCACGTAATAATTTTTTCACATTACTATACCGTAACAGATCATAATTTACATATTTATACATGTGATTGTTCTATATGTGATTTATTGTGATCATGATCGTGATCGTTTAGTATTGTAAGTTTTGTTACAGCCTAAAGAGTACAAATATTTTTACAAAAGCAATGTACTCATATTGAATAAGTGTAAATACTGTAATACCCTTATGAGAGAAAAATTCTCCAATATTAGAGAATTTCACAATCGTCCACTGTTCAGATTTAAATTCAAAAGGTAAAGTATTAAAAAGAAGGGCAGATTGCATAAAACTCCCTTCTATTTTATATTTTTGGCATGATACCCCCCTTTAAATCTTTTTAATATAAAACACCCCTAATATATTTTATTGTTGAAACACTGCCCTTAGAGTTTTTTAAATAATATTTATTTTATTTTTCCTTTTTAATTTTTAAAAATAGAACTTTAAGAAAATTTAAAAAATTGTACTCCACTAAAGTGATGTAATAATGACAAAAATGCCCTTTAATATAAATTTAAGAAAATTTAGGTTTTCTTTTAAATAATTTTCGTTTTCGATTTTCTTAAACTTTTTTTAAAAAATAAAAAAGGAAAGGAAATTTAAAAAATCCAAGGTATTTTAATTTTTTTTATAGATGCACCATTAATATTTAAAAATAATAATTTTAGTAACACTGTGTCAAATGTTATTTGTATTAATTTTAATCTTATATTAAGATGCATCATTTTCTTAATATATATATATATATATATATATATATATATATATATATATATTATATTAAGGGGCATTTTCTTTATTGGGGGTAGTGTTGCAACAAACAAAGAACTTGGGGTGGTTTTATCATTATGTCATAATTTTTTTGGAGGGGTTGGGTTTTCTGCCAAAAATTGAAAGGAAAAGAGGGTTTTATGCAATTTGTCCTAAAAATATTAAGTCTCTGTTTTAATCTTTAAAAAATAATTTAAATTTGCTAAAAATGTATATAATAAATAATAAAAAAATATACACACTTTTATAAGTTTTATAGTTAGATGTATGATAACACATGCACTATCATAACGTGATCATACAACATTTGAAATGGTATTTGAATCTTGCTTTATGTGATATTTGTGGGATATGAAATAAAATAAGTTTGTATTAGCGTTATTATTATTAATTTTAAACATTTATATAGCGTTATTGATATACGGAGTATATCATTTTGCACCTCTCACCCATGTAGTAGTAGTATACACACGGCGCGAATCTATATATATATTCTCTGTCTACGACTAATTGAAGAAGCCGAAGCCCTTTAATGCCTGCTTAACGTCCCACCGCAAAACAGAGTTGTTCTCATGAAGACCTTTTATTAGGTTAGTTTTGATACTGTTGGATTTTTATTTTAAATTTTCGTTTCCATTCGATTTCTACACTTTGTTTTGTTTTAAACTCCCTGGAAAATTTTGATTTATTATTTTTATTGTTCACATTTGTGTGTGTATGTGTGAGGTTTATACATCCGTGATATGGTGAAACAGCTCTAAAACCAATAAGTTTAGGAAAAAGTTGAAATAAGAAATTTTAGAAAAATTAATAAAATCAATAAGTTTCTGCAACAATTCAAAGCCAATTGAAGATCAATGACTACTGAAGTACACAAAGAAGAATGATATTATAAAAATAATTAAGAAAAAAACTATTAAATTTCAAGAATTTTTACTAGACAAATTAAATGTTCTGTTAATTCAAGCAAAACACTCATAAGCTTAAAGAAAACTGAAAAATCAATAGTTACTGAATTATTAAGATTTTAATCAGAAGCAAAATTGATTATTAACTATAATAAATTCATTTTTAAAATTCTGTAAATATCAAGTAAAACCAATATTTCTTTTATGCGAAAACACAAGTATAGTTTGCCCATTATAGAATAAGCATAGACGGTAGACATATACAGCATCAAAAACATGTATGATAATGAAACACCTTTAAATTCTAGGCTAGTCAATAAAGACCCATGAAGTTTTGGCAAAAATATAGAGAAATTCATGCACCAAATGGAGTAAAATGAGGAGCAAGAGAGTTGTGGAGGGACAAAGGCTGAAAGTGAATGCAATAATATAATTTTGTTTTCACCTATTTGAAACATGAAACTTAGAACCTGAAGGCAGAGGATGATGATAATGAAGAGAGCGAGACATTTGCTGGGTAATGGAGAAGGGTGGGGTTTGGAAATACTAGGAGGCTTTGACAAGATCCTCCATGGTCCATTTATGTTAGAGAGAGAGAGAACGAGAGATCGGAAAATCTATGGTGTGAAGGCATTGACTCCTTGGTGCAAACAAGAGATGGATTTTGTAAAAAGATGATAGAGTGTTTGCCATTTGGGTGTAAACGGGACCTGGAGATGAGAGAGCCAGTGTTTGGAGACACATTTGAATTTGATTAGAGTCTTGACGGTATACAACCGAGGCATTGCCATCAATTGTGATAGCTGCTTGTGAGGACAATGGTGTTTGGTAAACTCCTCTTGGCAACAAGGTGGTAACAAATGATAATAGGGTCTTCTTGGTGGAAAATGGTTCACTTTATTTATTTATTTTTCATTTTCCTTTTTCTTGGTCTAGGTTGGGTTTGTTTTCAATTCTGTAAGAATGGAATGCTCATTAGGATGAATGCTGTTTGGGTTTGTTTTTAATTTTTAATTATTTATTTTTATTTTTTGTTATAAGAAGAATGAGTATTCCAACATTTTCTATGAGTGGCTATTACAAGAGAATGGACATTCCAACTTTATTTTGGCTCACCAAACAAAAGCAAAGGGAATGAAGGGTTGGAATGAGCATATTTCATACAATTATGGTTCACCGTAAACATAGCATTGTTATGATCTGGAGATTGCCAATGTATAATTTGACATGTTTGCACCACTCTGATATATATCTATATTATATATTTAATGTTGCATACTTGGGTCACTACATCCTTGCTATAGCCAGTCATAAGTTCACTACAGGTCAAATACATTTAAAATTTCCTAATCAAATCATCAACATCAAATATTTGTTATCATGACAGCATGATTGATAATTATATGGTCATTGTTTTTCAGTAAGTAAAATTTTATTACCAAAAGGGGAAAAAAAAGAAGAAGAAGAAAGGTTTTACGGTAGGTTCATAATTGTTTTTGGTTTAAGAAATTTTAAAACCAGAGAGGGAAAAGCCTAGCAACATAATGACACTCTTACAACTGAGATGTTAGAGAGTCAAAAGAAACCTCATACACTATAGAATAAGAACAACACACTAGTTTAGTATATTAAGTTTGCGGTATGATTGAAAGCCTTGTTTTTTACTGTCTCCAAAGGGATCCTTAGTTGAGAGCAGAGAGACAATGAGATAGAGAAGTCCCTTCTTGAGGAGCATCCAAAGCTTGAGGTTCCTCTTAGAGCTTCTTCTCAACAAGTTCGATATCTCATGCAAAGCCTTAGATGTAAGGCATAGAACTTGATCAGAATGCCACTCTTGGCGCTCATCCATATCGGAAGACTCCTATTAGACCTTACCATTAATAGGTGCACAAACTCTTGAAGGCTGTGAAACCGTGGATCTAATTCTTTAGGACTTATGACTGAACACAGCTAAAAAAGACATCCAAATATGTTTGGTAATGAAGTAACGGGCGTATCCTTTTTTATGGCTATAATTTCTTTATTCCTCTTTAGGAGGAGCCACAACATCTTTCCTGTTTTCTCAATAACATCCTCCCACTCATTTGGGCTAGATTTAGGAGCCAAATTCTCCTCCAATCTGTGTTCTTGTTTACAATCTGCACGTCTTTGTGGTTTCCATGGGACCTCCACTCTATTCTCATAAGGATCATCATTCGTGAGATCTAGCTTAATAGATTTTTGAATGTCTTTACAACCATCAAACCCAATCCAATTGCTAGCATAAGTGAGTGTAGCCTTTAAACGAGCAGGCTCATCAAGAAAGAATGGGTTGCAAATTAGTTAGCGGGAATACCAACGCCAACTTCTGTCCAAAGTTCCAATGGAACATTATAAAAACTTGCTCAAATCAGGATGCTAAAAAAGATAGACAATGGCATATCTAGAAACCATTTTTTTTCATGATAGAAGCTCACCACCAAAATATAAACTTCTCTGGAAACTATTTTTTGGCCTTTAAAAGGTTCACCATTGTTAGTAATACAGAAAATTTAAAATCTATGTACTGCTATCTCTGTACTTAAACGAATAACGAAGTAACTGAACTAGGACAATAAAATCCATAAAACATAAAATTATGTTTTTGATGAATATAACCAATACATCATCCAATGTGAACAATCAGTTTACACCAAAAATGACTCCAAACCACTTACCAAAGAAGAAAGAGGAATCCAAAACCAAATCAATTACAGTCATCCGTAACCCAAATACAATAAATTTAAGAAGTCCAACAATGAAACATCATGTAATAGTAATTAGCTAGATCTTCTACATCATTGAATGGTGCCACAACTTTTCATATGTCTATTTTCTCTGTTTTCTGATATATTGGCATCATCTCGGTTCTATGAAAGCACGCCACACCCATCTGAGCCTCAATCACCTGGCATGATTATTTCACAACCCATCACTACTCTGAATAAAAGATAGATCCACATCATCTACAATGGAGAATAACCTACCTTTTCCTTTTTTTCTCTACACCCTGTGGAATAAAACTGGTTAATCAAACTAAGCACTGTTCGTGTGAAGAGGATAAGACTTACTTTGACATAAAAACCACCATTGCATGAATCCTTAACCTGTCAAATTTCATAAGCAATATAAAAACAGATGTTAGTTGTGTTCAGATTGTAGTTTCCTATAAAAATTTTCTTTATAATTCAATACATCTTATTTTGATGAAGCAAAAATGATGGAATTACAAGGTACCTAACTTGATTGTGGTTATGCTGACCTGATTACTTTGTATGTGCTCCCATCGTAGAGTCGGACTATGAATCAAATACGAGTATCCATGAGATTGAGATCTTCTGGCACCCAATTCGTCTTGAGGTAATAACATTGGATGCTTGGGATATGGCGAACTAGATGACACAATTTTCCACCATTCTTGAGCTGAGCCACAAATCTGTAGGGCATATCGTACAAGTGAAGCTCTTTGAGGCAAGTGAGGTTTCTAATACCCTCTGGAACCTGCTGCAGGTTATTGCACTGCCTAATAATCAGCTTTTGGAGATGAGGTAAGGTATTCTCTTCCATTCTGACCTTTCTCAATGGTTCCAATTGCTCGAGTTCCAAGATCTTCAAACTTTGAAATTTGCTTTTTTGGAAACTTAGCTGGTTTCCAGTATAGGCATCGAGCAGGTGGAGCTCCAATAGACGAGGAAGATTTTGAAGGATATCGATGGGGTTCTTGTCGTCTGTTAACTTTGACCACTTAAGACGTATCCTTACCAAGTCATTAAGTCTTGAAATCCAATTTGGTAACCTTTTTAACTTCCCTTTAAGATACACGCGTTGAAGAAATGGTGGAGGATTTCTAATTGCTTCTAGATCTACCTCCTCATCCTTTTGTAATGATGTTACATTTAAGGAATGGAGGTTTTGCATTCGATTAATTGACTCGCACAGATTTGACCCATCTCCACTTGGAAGATCAATGATCCCCAACTTTCTTAGTTGTGTCAGATTCCTTAGCCCTTGAATCACATTGTGCTGCCTATTTGCCTTTATGAATGACAGCTTCTGTAAGTTGGGTGTCTGGATCTCTGATGATACCTCGAATCCTTTGACACAATCAAAAGTGGTATAATGTTGTATGTCATAGTGGTAAACAAGCAAATGCCGAAGTTTCTGAAGTTTGAGGACTTTTTTGGGCAGCTTTACCACTCTAGTTTGCTTAAGATCCAAGGTCTCTAGGTACCTAAGATTCCCCAGAGACTCGGGAATGATTTTGATATTGTTATTCCTCAAACACAGATACTTCAAGAGCAGTAAACCCACAATTTCCTTAGGAAAGATCTCCAATGATGCACCTTCCAGATGCAGAACTCTCAATAATTTCAAGTCTGGAATTGAGCTGTAGGGTACACCGAACATAAAAAGGGTGTGAACACTCCCATCCAACTTGTTGAATCCATGGCTTTGGATAGATAGTCGACGGGGTTTGTCACTTATTTTTCTCTGTGATTCTGAAAAAACATTGCAAAAATTCTCCTCTCTTGACTTTGAGAGAATAATCTTATGCATGAGATTATGTACCCGACAAGTTTTTGGCCTCCCATCAAAATCCAATTCACTTTGTATCAGATTCCTGTCGGTGAGTTCTTTTAGATACTCCTCTCCCATGTCTTCAAGTTCTTTGTCTGTTTGTTCTCTTATAAAACCCTCTGCTATCCACAGCCGAATCAATACTCTGCACCTAACTGGATAATCATTCTCGGGGAAGTTGGTCAAGTATAGAAAACAATACTTGAGATGGTATGGCAAGTCACTGTAACTTAGAGATAGTACTCTCATGGTATTTGAAAGGCGGCCATTTCTGCTCAACTCTGATCCAAGGCTTCCAAGCAATTTTTGCCATGCAGATACAGAGTTCTCTCTATACAGAATTTTACCAATTTCAATGACTGCAATTGGCAATCCTTCGCATTTTGTTAAGATTCTTTGGGACCAGTCCTCCAACCGTGAAGGACATATGCCATCTGGGAAAGCTTTCTTGTAGAAGAGTTGTTTAGCCTTTTCCGTAGGAAGAGACGGGATGTTGTAGACATCAGTAGAGTTATCTCTACATGAAAAAGCTATATCGCCTCTTCGTGTAGTGATAATTATTCTACTGTGATTACCCTCAGGTAATGCCTTTCTAATGGTTTCCCAAACATCTTTAATCCACAAATCATCAAGAACTAAAACATACCTTTTGTTTTGCAGATGATCCTTTAGTTTGCTCGTCAGGTGGACCACGTTGGAGTGAGATGAGCTCTGGGAAGTTGGCTCGACTGGCGGCAGATTGCAGAATTCTGTGAACATCCTCTGTAAGAGCTCCACTTTATTTATTGACCTTCCAACAGTGATCCAAGCATGGCATTCGAATCCTTCATTCTTCACCATCTCATACGCTTGCTTAACAATAGTTGTTTTGCCCAATCCGCCCATCCCAACTACAAACACCACCTTGAGACTTTGCCTCCCTTTTTGTGCCCAAGTAATCAGTTTCTGTGTAGGTTTTTCAATCCCCACAATTTCAGTGTCTTCAGCGAACAGAGGATCTATTCTTAGAGCAAGGTATGTGTCATTTCCCGTCGTCGAACTTGAGGCTTGGGACGGACTGATGCTATGATGATATCTCTCCTTTGCTTCTTTGATACTTTTGAGTTTCATGTTAATACCTTCAATTAGCTCATCGATGTGGTGGCGTGCTCTCCATTTGGTGACGAACTCAAGGCCGTGGCTAATAGACTGTTGAACCATGTGAAACGTAAAAATGTCGAGAAGATCCTCAATGTCATAAGTTCCATCTCGAAGTTTTTGAAGCCAGACAGTGACTTGGCTATTGTGCTCTCTTTCGGTATCGGCATCCTTCAGAAGTGCGCTAATGCTTTCCAATTCACCTCTCAAGCTGTCGACCTCCATGTTAATCTTTCCCGGCAACTTCCATTCTGCCTCCAGCCAAATTTGAAGCTTATCGAGTAGAAAGCAGACAGCATCCTGTGCCATATCTCTCACGTAAGTGTTCTTTTCTAATTCTGAATTTTTAGAGGATACAAGAAGACTGCCCTCTATATGGTTTTTTTTATGAATGCCAATGTTTCAATAAATTTATTTGCAGGACTTTTGCCAGTACACGTTGACTGACTTATCAGTTTGGTGAAACTTAAACAATGAATGAATACACATATATACAGACATATAAGTACTTGTATGTCTTAGCAAAAAGAGTATATTTCTTTAATTTACTATCCAGTAAATTCAACAGATCCAAGTAACAGTAACAATTTTATGCATCAACTTGAAGAGTATATACATTGTAATGCCTATAATTAGAGATGCCCAACAAATGATATAACTAAAAGGGGTTGTAATTCTAATTTTTTTGGCTTCAAATGATAACTTTTAAGTCGAACACTATAATTATCATAAAGATATTAATATATTTTTAAAGCATTATTAGATAGATAAGTCTGATACTATTGAGTAAGACCAACACACACACACACTCTTTTCTTTTGGAGTCGACAAAGAATTATAATAGAATTGGGTGCGCAATAAAGAAAACAGGTGGGCTCATTATATATTGGAAATTTCTTTTCAATTGAGGCCAATGAGCATTGATGTGGACTTCACATAAAGATTTTGTGTGTGTGTGTGGCTATTTTGAAAGTTCACAGCATTTTCTATCAAGCTAAAAGGAAAAGGAAAAGGAAAAGGAAAAGGCAAAGTGAAAGTAGTTTGCAAAAGTTAGTTCTATCTTCTTTGTAATGCAATTAGCAAGCACAAGGAATCTTATTTTAAAATAATTAAGTAAATGGAAATCATATGCATAAACTTTAAAGAGTGTCTTTTGTGATCTTTATCTCTTTTGCACTACATTTACCTTTTGTAAAAGATATGAAATGATGAATTATTCTTGAAAAGCACTCTCAATTATTGCACACACTCCTTAAAATTGTAGAGTTTTTTTTTTTTTTTTTAATTGAAAAAAAAATGAGGAGTGCTAAACATAGTCGTGTTGCAACTGTGTATTCACAGTCGCACATCGGACTGATTGAAAAATCTAACTTCAACTTTTAAGACATATTATCCTTTTATATTTCTTCTTTCTTTTCTATCATATTTATACGTGTGTCGTGTGAATGGTTTTTCACTGTTTTTCCCTCTTCTTTAAATAAAAAGAGAGAAAAAAAAAAACTATGTGAATTGATTGTTTCTTTCCTTTTTCCTTTTTTTTCTTTTTTTTCTTTCATTATATATACATATATATAGTATTTAATCATACTGTGAATAGATTGGGAAACCATACTTCTGTATTTCATATATTAACTAAAAATCAAATTTTATAATATTACTTCAATTAAAACTCAATCTCATACCTTTATTTCAATTAAATTACATAAAATCCAATAAAAATCCATCAAGGTGGAATATATATATATATATATAAGACAAGTGAACAAAAAACAAAGAAAGCAAAAAATGAAGTATAGCCATATATATCCGATCAGGAAAGAAAAAAAAAAAAAAAGAAGACAATTGTTAAAAATAAAATAAAAAAATAAAGTTAAATATATGTAACAAATGAAAGAAGGAGGGTTATTAGATATAAAGAAAGAAGAAATAATTTTAAAGGATAATTTGGTCTTAAAGTTAATGTTTATAATTTCAAAAAATTAAGAAAGATACCTTAATTACAACTTCTATAATTAAAAATTTTAATCAATTAAATGTGCGATTGTGTTTAACACTCCTCTTGAAGAATATTGTGTAGGATTGCTAAAATGGAAAATATAGCAAAATGAGGTTCCAGGTGAGTTTTCATCAACTGAGTATGGCTTTTTTTTTTTTTTTTTTTTTTTACATATATATTTTCTTTTCGATCTCTTTTGTTTTAAAACTTCATTTAAATAGTTTTAAAAATTAGAACTAAAGAATGAGGTTCGCAGAAAGACTTCTTTTTGGGTCAAAATGGTGTGGCAGAGGATCCACAAAGACTTATCATCTTAGGTCAAGAAAGATTGGTCAAGAAATACAGGTCCTAGAAGTGGGTGTGTAGTCCGAATTCGGTTCAAGTTGGCGATTCCGTGGGACCCGTCTTGCAACGAGTTTTCTGTTATAATGTGCTATATTTTTTTAGGACAAATTATCCTCACATGCCCTGAGGTTGGGTCATATTTCACCTAAATTATCATTTTGATTTTAAATTTTACTTATATTTCAATTAGTGGTTTAACATTTTACTTTAGGGTTAGTTTGGTGCGATGTAATGGAATAAAAGAAAGTGGAATGAAATAAGTTTTTTTTTTTTTTTTTTTGGTGCCAATTTTAAAGTTGGAATCATTATTTCCTACTATTCTTGGAGAATGGTCATTTTATCAAAATTAGGAATGGCAACGGGGCGAGTTTCCCTAAGGCCATCCGCAACCCACTAGCGAACCCAATTTCTGCGAGCCAAAGAGGCTTTGGGTCGTGTAGCGGCCTCTTCAAATTGGTAGGGCCCATTTTAGGCTTGCGGGCCAGCTCGCTGAGCGATCGGGGTAATTTTTTATTTACTGAATTTTATTTTATTTTTTCTTTAAAAAAAATCTGTCAAAAATATATTAAAAAACCTTTTTTTTTTCCCTTAAAATTTAGTTTTTTTAAAAAAAAAATTTTGCATTCAATTCTAAATGTGTAGGCAACAGTGCCTTAACGGCTATAATTTTTAAAAAAATATATATAAATATATTTTTTTTTAAATTTTGAAAAAAAAATAATTATAATTACAAATTTATCTAGTTATATAAGATGAAAAATATAGCCGTTAAAAATATAGCCGTTTAGGAAAAGTTAAAAAAAAAAAAAAAATTTATTTTAATTTATTATTATTATTATTATTTTAGAGCGAAAATTCGGAGAGCCTCATGGAGTGCATGTTTCTGGAGAACGAAAATTATTGACGTGACCCTTGGAATTGCTGATGTGGCTATTGGAAAAACTAATGTAGTATTTTTAGAGAGCCAAAATCCGGAGAGGCTGATGCAGATGTCCTAAATCCCTCCCCGCCGCATTTAATTTTTGTCAAGTCCATGCCCGTCTCACGACGGGTTGGATTTTCATGTCCAGCCTCGCCCCGTTGGAAAATATTGTGCCCGTGCCCGTCTAGCTAACAAATTTTTTTCTCCCCATTTTTTGGGACTTAAGCTGCTGTTATTTAAATGTGGAAAGTCGGGAATGGCACAACATAAATGAAATTATGAATCCCAACAAAAAAAAAAAAAAATTAAATAACATGCATATAAATGAAATTATATAGTTATATGCTTAGTGGGGCGGGCGGGCGGGGCGGGGCGGGGCGGGGCCCCGGCGGATATGTATACTGAACCCTTATTTGTCCCGTGACCCACAATGGGTATAAAATTTGTATCCATGCCCGCTCCAACGGTATAAAAGGTGTTCATATATCCGTTATTAACGGGACGGGACGGGCCGGGGCCCCGACGGGGCGATAAAAATTGACACCTCTAATCAAAATCATTTCACCTTCAAATAAAAGGAATGACCATTCCATTCTCTTCTCATTCCATTTCGACTTCCATTCTCATTCCATTCCACCATACCAAATTAACCCTAAATATTCCAAATGTCAATTTTTGGTGGGGTCATAGTATTTTTGAGGTGTTAAATTACTATGTTACCTTTTGACCTCTTATTGACTATTTTTATGACCAAACTATCTCGAACATACACGTTTACTATTCCTTCGTCCTCAGACCATCCTCATCCTCAATTCACCCCTCTAGAGATTCACCAATCCCACAGGTTCCTCCTCAACTCCCCCATTAATCCTGCTCGATCATCCATCACCCAAATCCCACCTCACCAAAACTGCTCTCATTAAAAGACTCTTCTTCTCTCATTGTGTGTGTGTGTGTGAATTGTGCAGATCTAAGATGGAGGATTCAACAGTAGAGGTGAAGAAAAACAGAGATTAAGGTGACCGGACGCAACAGTAGTGGTAAATCTTTAAGTATATAACCCAAAGGAATTTAAAAACCTATTATTAGTTAATAGAAGATTAATAATTTTTATTTTTTATTTTAAAAAAAAAACCAACACTCATTCACTTCTAAGCTCCAAATTAGTGATTTTATTAGTAATAAATTCTAAGGGTTCATTCAAGTGAGTAAGTGACTTGGTCCTGGTGTCTTATGAAATATCAGGTTTAAAGTCTGACTTCTTTCGGGTGTAAATAAATTGGGGTTGTGAATATTAATTAAAAAAAAAAAATGCGCAAAAAATTAATTTTTGTATATATAATAATATACTATATTATTATTATTATTATTATTCTTGCATATTTAGGTAGGCCTGATATTAGCATTGAGTAACACACAGACTTTCTTTTGGAGCTTTTTAAATCTTGGAAAATTCTTTTCAATACTAATCAAAAGAGTCCTGAGTATTTGATGTGGACTTCACATAATGGTTTTTCCGATATATTTATTTTTATTTATTATTATGTGGTAGAGGATTCACAAAGACTTATCTTCTTAGGTCAGCAAAGAAATATCTTATAAGTAGCTAGGTGAGTAATAATAAAGAAAATATGAATTTAAATAATTTCTTTAACATACTAGTACTAGGTATGTCAAGGATGTCCCGATCTCTCAACTAATTAATGGACCAAAATGATACTTGGTTCCAATTCGGTCCAAGTCGACGCTCACATGAGACATGTAGTCATTAATACTCACACTAATGTTACAAGGCATCATTTTCTCTTTAAAAGATGGGTGCAACAAGGTTGTTTCGTATCTGAATATATATATCTATACTTACCATTTGAAAAAGTTTTCTAAGTATAACATTGGATCTTGTTTCTCACCTTTATATATGGATCTTGTTGGGATGACAATGGAGCGAGTTTGGAGCGGATTTCTCTAAACCCCGTCCTGCCCTTTTTAATTTTTGTCAAGTCCATGTCCGTCCTGAGACCCACGACGAGTTGGATTTTCATGTCCAGTCCTGCCCTGTTAGGAAATACTGTGCCCCCGTGCCTGCTCCCGCTAACAAATTTTTTTCTCCCACTTTTTGGAACTTAAGTTCCTGCTATTTAAATGCGGAAAGCAAATAAATAAATAAATAAAATAAATTGCATATCAACTAGAAGAGGAGGAAGGAAGAACTGAAAAAAGGACTGTCTATCTCCAAATGCCAAGTTTACTAATTTCTAGACCAAGGAAGCTTCGCCTGTAAAGGCAATTCTTATAGAAGCTTATTATTATCACAACAAAAATGAAATGCATGATTCAACCAAAATATATGAAAAGGGTATAATTATAAATTCTATAATATATATATATATATACATATATTCCAATATAATTACTATCATCTCTTTTCATTTCTTTTCCTTCGTTAGTCAACCAAATGATTTAACACTATTCTCACATAATCATATTTTTCTTCTTTTCTCTTTGCTCCTAGTAGTTATCCTTCCTTTTTTTCTTTTCCACTGAAACAAACAGACAAGGTAAAATGTATGTATTGGTGGGAGTACAATAACAGTGTAAGTAACTCTTTTAGATTAGGGAAGCCAAATGTAATATAGAAACCACAAATAAATCAAGAATTTAAGGCATTGCATTGTCAATTTAAAGTTGTTGTGTTATTGATTTAGAATTTCGTCGCATTGTCAATTTAAAGTTGTGTTATTGATTTAGAATTTCGGCTTAGTAATCAGATTCTTAGGAGTGGGGCGAAGCTGGCCCATTTACTTAAGGCTATGCCTCATAGACAGTAAATATGCAAGTTGTGTTATTGATTTAGAACGCTGTCTTAGTAATCAAAAACATTTTACGTTTTAGTTTTCATTCGAAATAGAAACTAACGTTTTTATTATGAAGTGTGTTTAATAATGATTGAAAACATCTTTGGTAACAAAAAGATTATTGTAAGATTTTTGGATGCAAAAATATAAAAACATATTAGAAATTTGGAGTAATATTTATGCAACATTTTGGTACAAAATAAATCATTATTTACAGATACATATTGCAACCCAAAACAATGCTAAAGTATCTAATTCAAAAAAAAAAAAAAAAAACACAAACACACACCAAACACAAAACAACAAATAGGCCGAACTCACAAAACATACTCATCATAAAAAATAAAATAGAAAATATAAAAATATATTTAATAAAAAAATATTGTAAATTTGAAATTAAGTCATATAAAGCGGGAACAGGAGTGGGAGTGAGAGCGAATTCGAGAGCGAGAGAGTGAGAGTGGCAGAATTAATTCATGAGCAATGAAAATTTGAATAAGGGTGCGAGCAGAATGTGAGACCGGGAACACGCTCAGGGTATTATGACTTAGATTTTGAAATAATATTTTAATATTTATGCAACAGTTTGGAATAAAATAAATCATTATTTACGGATACATATTGCGACCCAATACAATGCTAACAACAAATAGGCCGAACTCACAAAACATACACATCATAAAAAAACGAATAATAATAATAATAAATAAAATAAAAAACATGGGAGAGGATTCAATGCACTACCAAAATATTACCACGTTGTCCGGTGGTTGAACCTCGAACCCTCCTCCCCTTTCCCCTCCCCTCTAATCACCGACTCACACACACACACACACACACACACACACATATATATGTATCATTTTTGCATAGATATGGTAAAATAATGGCACAGTGGACATGGAAAATAATTTTCCTTTTCAGACCAAAATGCTTCCAAAGTCTAAAACTCATCTCCCTATATGCGCGTGCAAGAAGCGCTCTCCGTCGATGACTAATTGAAGAAGCCGAATGCCCTAATAGCTGTTCTAAGGTCCCAATGGCATAAAGAATTGTTATCGTGAAGAACTTTTATAAGGTTAGTTTTGATATTGTTGGATTTTTATTATATTTTTGTCTCTGTTCGATTTCAGTAGTTAATTTCTTTTGAATCTCTTTTGAGAATTTTGGTTTATTATTTGTCTTGTTCACATTTGTATGTGTGAGTGTGATTGTATATATCTGTGATATACTAAAACACCTATAAAACCAGTAAGTTTAGAAAAAAAGTTGAAATAAGAAATTTTAGAAAAATGAATAAAACCAATAAGTTTCTGCAACAATTCAAAGCCAATTGAAGATCAATGTCTACTGAAGTACACAAAAGACAATGATATTATAATAATTAAGAAAAATCTTTTAAATTTCAATAAAATTTTCTAGACAAATTAATTGTCCGGTTAATTCAAGCAAAATACTTGAAACTTTGAATAAGCAGCTTAAAGAAAACTGCAAATTCAATAGTTACTGAATTCTTAAGATTTTATTCATAAAGCAAAAATCATTTTTAAAATTTTGTACATATCAAGCAAAACCAATATATATATTTAATGCAAAAACACAAGTATAGTTTAAGCATTATAGAATAAACATATAAAGTAGACACATACAACATCAAAAACATGTATATGATAAAGAAACTTCTTAAAATTCCAGACTAAATGAAGTTTTGGCAAAAATATGGAGAAATTCCTGCACTAAATGAAGTAAAACCGAGAAGGGGCAAGAGAGTTGTGGAGGTACAGAGGCTGACTGTGAAGAAGACAATGGATGATGATAACGAGGAGAGCAATACATTTGATGGGTAATGGAGAAGGGTGATGTTTGGATGTGCTAGGATGCTTTGATGAGATCCCCCATGGTCTGTTTTATGTCAGACACAGAGGATGTGGAAAATCTATGGTTTGGAGGCTTCGACTTCTTGGTGTAAACAAGCGATTGATTTTGGTAAAAAGATGATAGAGTGTTATTTGGGTGTAAACAGGACTTGGTGATGAGAGAAAACTGGTGTTTGGAGATGCATTTGAATTTGATTAGAGACTTGATGGCATAAATCCGAGGCATTGCCAGCAATTGTGATGGTTGCTTATGAGGACAATGGTGTTTGGTTTACTCCTCTTGGCAACAAGGTGGTATCAAATGACAATAGGGTCTTCTTGGTGGAAAACGGTTCTCATATACCCTTCCCCCCGTCTGGGTTGGGTTTGTTTTTAATTCTGTGCGGAATGGAATGCTCGCTAGGATGAATGTTGTTTGAGTTTGTTTTTATTTTATATTTTTTTGGTCATAAGAGGAATGAGTATTCCAAGAAAATGGACACTCCAACTTTATTTTGGCTCACCAAACAAAAGCAAAGGGAATGAAAGTGTTAGAATGATCATTTCATTCCATTCTAGTCCACTATAAAACATAACTAGGGAAAACAAAAAAGAAAAAGTCCACTATAAAAACATAGCATTGGTATGCTCTTGGGGTTGCCAATGTAAAAATGCTGTCGTGTGGGCACCATTCTATTTTTTTTTTTTTTTTTTTTTTTTTTTAATGTTGCATATTTATTGGGTCACTACATCCTTGCTCTAGCCTAAGTTCACTAAAGGTCAAATGCATCTAAAATTTTATAATTAATCAAAACATCAACGTCAATAATTGTTATCCTGACAGCATGATTGATAATTACATGGTCATTGTTTTTTAGTAAGTAAAATTAAATACCATGGGTTTAGAATTTGTTCTTGGCCAAAGAAATTTTAGAACTACAGGGGGAAAAGCCTAGCAACATAAAGGCACTCTCACAACGAAGATGTTAGAGAGACAAAAGATAACGTTTTACATTGTAGGATAAGAAACAACACACTAGTTAGATAATAAAAGATCCTGTAGCAAACTTACTTCAGTATAGTAAGTTTGCTGTATGACTGAAGGCCTTGTTTTTTTACTTTTATCTCCAAAGGGATCCTTAGTAGATACTAGAGAGACAAGAATTAGAGAAGTCCCTTCTTGAGGAGCATCCAGAGCTTGAGGTTATGCCTTAGGTGTAAGGCATTGAACTTAGCATGCAGTATGCCACTCTTGTCGCTCATCCTTGTTAGAAGACTCCTATTAGACCTTACTTTTAATAGGTGCACAAACTCTTGAAGGCTGTGCAACCATGGATCTAATTCTTTAGGATTTATGACTGAACACACCTAAAAAAGAAGAAAGAGATCCAAATATGTTTGGCCATGAAGTAACAGGAGTATCCTTTTTTAGGGCTATAATTTCTATTTTCCACATTAGGAGGAGCCACAACATAATTCCCATTTACTTTCTAACATCCTCCCACTCATTTGGGCTAGATTTAGGAGACAAATTCTCCTTCATTCTCTATCCTTGTTTAGGCTTAGTACTGGGATTTAGAAGGGCAATATTGGTTAGAATGACGAAAAGAATTACAATCTACACATTTTTGAGGTTTCCGTGGGACCTCCACCCTATTCTCATATGAGAGATCGAGCTTAATAGCCTTTTGAATGTATTTACAAGCATCAATCCAAATCCAATTTCTAGCATAAATGAGTTTAGCCTTTAAACGGGTAGGCTCATCAGGAAACAATGGGTTGACAATTAGTTAATAGGATAACTAACACCAGCTTCCCTCCAAAGTTCCAATGGAACATCCTATAAATTTGCTCAAATTGGGATTCTAAAAAAGTTACACTTAGACAATGGCATATCTAGAAACCATTTTTTTAAAGATACAAGCTCACTACAAAAATAATAAACTTCTTTGGAAACTTAATTTTTTTTGCCTTTAAAAGGGTAACCATTGTTAGGAATGCAGAAAATTTAAATCTATGTACTGCTATCTCTATAGTTAAAAGAATAACAAAGTAACTGAACTAGGATAATAAAATATATATATGTATATATATATATATATATATATATATATATATATATATCTAAACATATAATTATGCTTTTGATGGAAATAACTCTGATCAATGCATCATCCAAAATGAACAATTGGTTTACACGAAAAATGACTCCAAACTGCTTACCAAAGAAGAAAGAGAACTCCAAACCCAAATCAATTACTGTCCTTTGTAGCGCAATTTCAATAATAAATAAGAAGTCCAACATGAAATATCATGTAATAGTTATTAGCTAGATCTTCAACATCATTGAATGGTGCCACAACTTTTCATTTACCTGTTGTCCAAGTTTTCTGATTTATTGGCATCATCTCAGTTCTATGAAAGCACGTCACTCCCATCTTTGCCTCAATCACCTGGCATGATTATTAAGCAACTCATTGGTAGTCTGAATAAAAGATAGATCACACCATTGTACCGAGTTTGTGAAGAGGATAAGACTTACTTTGATATAAAAGCAGCCATTGCATGAATCCTTTCCCTGTCAAATTTTATAAGCAATATTAAAACAGATATTAGAAGTGTTTCAAATTGTAGTTTCGTATAAAAAAAAGTACTTCATAATTCAATACGTCTTATTTTGATGAAGCAAAAATGATGGAATTACAAGGTACCTAACTTGATTGTGGTTATGCTGACCTGATTACTGTGTATGTGCTCCCATCGTAGAGTCGGACTATGAATTGTAGAGGCGAACCAGATGACTCAATGTTCCACCATTCTTGAGTGGGGCTACAAATCTGTTGGGCAAGTGAAGCTCTTTGAGGCGAGTGAGGTTTCTAATACCCTCTGGAACCTGCTGCAGGTTATTGCACTGTCTTATAATCAGCTTTTGGAGATAAGGTAAGGTAGTCTCTTCCATTCTGACCTTTCTCAATGCTTCCAGTTGCTCAAGTTCCAAGATCTTCAGACTTTGAAATTTGTTTTTTTGAGAAATCTAACTGGTTTCCAGTACAGGAATCGACCAGCTGGAGCTCCAATAGATTAGGAAGATCTTGAAGGATATCAATGGGGTTATTGTAGTGTGTTAACTTGGACCACTTAAGACGTATCCTTTTTAGGTCACAAAGTCTGGAAATCCAATTTGGTAACTTTTCTAACTGCCCTTTCAGATACAGGCGTTGAAGAAATTGTGGAGGATTGGTAATTGCCTGTAGATCTACAACCTCATCCTTTTTTAATGATGTTACATTCAAGGAACGGAGGTTTTCCAGCTTTTCAATTGACTGGCACAAATTGGACCCATCTTCTGTTGGAAGATCAATGATCCCTAACTTTCTTAGTTGTGTCAGATTTCTTAGCCAATGAATCACCCCGTGATGGCTATTTGCCTTTATTAATGATGGCTTCTGCAAGCTAGGTGTCTGGATCTCTGCTGATATCTCGAATCCTGTAACACAATCAGAAGTTGTATAATGTCTGTCATAGCTATAAACAAGCAAATGCCGAAGTTTCTTAAGTTCGAGGACTTTTTTGGGCAGCTTTGCCACTCTAGTTTGCTTAAGGTCCAAGGTCTCTAGGTACCTAAGATTCCCCAGAGACTTAGGAACGCTTTTGATATTGGTCTTCCTCAAACACAGATACTTCAAGAGCAGTAAACCCACAATTTCCTTAGGAAATTCCTCCAATGATGCACCTTCCAAATGCAGAACTCTCAATAATTTCAAGTCTCGAATGGAGCTGTAGGGTACACGGAACATAAAAAGGGTGCAAACACTCTTAAAGTTCCCATCCAACTTGTTGAGTCCACTACTTTGGACAGATAATCGACGGTTCTTGTCACCAAAGTTTCTTTGTGATTCTGAAAAAACATTGCAAAAATTCTCCTCTCTTGACTTTGAGAGAATAATCTTGTGCATGAGATTATGTACCCGGCAAGTTTTTGGCTTCCCATCAAAATCCAATTCACTTTGTATCAAGTTCCTGTTGCTGAGTTCTTCTAGGTATTCCTCTCCAATCTCTTCAAGTTCTTTGCCTGTTTGTGCTCTTATAAAACCCTCTGCTATCCACAGCCGAATCAATACTCTGCACCTAACTGGGTAAGTATCCTCAGGGAAAATGGTCAAGTACAGAAAACAATACTTGAGATGGTACGGCAAATCATTGTAACTTAGAGATAGTACTCTCATGGTCTTTGAAAGGCGGCCATCTATGCTCAACTCTGATCCAAGGCTTCCAAGCAATGTTTGCCATACAGATTCAGAATTCTGTTTATACAGAATTTTACCGATTTCAATGACTGCAATTGGCAATCCTTCGCATTTTGTTAAGATTCTTTGGGACCAGTCCTCCAACCATGAAGGACATATGCCATCTGGGTAAGCTTTCTTTTAGAAGAGTTGTTTAGCCTTTTCCGTAGGAAGAGACTGGATGTTATAGACATCAGTAGAGTTATCTCTACATGAAAAAGCTATATCGCCTCTTCGTGTAGTGACAATTATTCTACTGTGATTACCTCCAGGTAATGCATTTCTAATGGTTTCCCAAACATCTTTAATCCACAAATCATCAAGAACTAAAACATACCTTTTGTTTTGCAGATGATCCTTTAGTTTGCTCGTCAGGTGGACCACGTTGGAGTGAGATGAGCTCTGGGAAGTTGGCTCGACTGGCGGCAGATTGCAGAATTCTGTGAACATCCTCCGTAAGAGCTCCACTTTATTTATTGACCTTCCAAAAGTGATCCAAGCATGACATTCAAATCCTTCATTCTTCACCGTCTCATACGCATGCTTAACAACAGTTGTTTTGCCCAATCCTCCCATCCCGATTACAAACACCACCTTGAGACTTTGCCTCCCTTTTTGTGCCCAAGTAATCAGTTTCTGTGTAGGTTTTTCAATCCCCACAATATCAGTGTCTTCAGCGAACAGAGGATCTATTCTTGGAGGAAGGTATGTGTCGTTTCCAGTCGTCGAACTCGAGGCTTGAAACGGACTGATGCTATGATATCTCTCCTTTGATGCTTTTGAGTTTCATGTTAATACCTTCAATTAGTTCATCGATGTGGTGGCGTGCTCTCCATTTGGTGACGAACTCAAGGCCGTGGCTAATAGACTGTTGAACCATGTGAAACGTAAAAATGTCGAGAAGATCCTCGATGTCATAAGTTCCATCCCGAAGTTTTTGAAGCCAGACACTGACTTGGTTATTGTGCTCTCTTTCGGTATCGGCATCCTTCAGAAGTGCGCTAATGCTTTGGAATTCACCTCTCAAGCTGTCGACCTCTGTGTTAATCTTTTCCGGCAACTTCCATTCTGCCTCCAGTCAAATTTGAAGCTTATCAAGTAGAAAGTGTTCTTTTTCTAATTCTGAATTTTTAGAGGATACAAGAAGACTGCCCTCTGTACGTGTAATTCTAATTTTTATGTCTTCAAATAAGAACTTTTAAGTCGAACACTATAATTATCATCAAGATATTAATATATATTTAAAGCATTATTAGGTAGATAAGTCTGATACTATTGAGTAAGACCAACACACAAACTTTTCTTTTGGAGTCTAAAGAATTATAATAGAATTGGGTGCGCAATAAAGAAAACAGGTGGGCTCATTATATATTGGAAATTTCTTTTCAATTGAGGCCAATGAGGATTGATGTGGTCTTCACATAAAGATTTTATGTATGTGTTTGTGTGTATGTGTTTTAGAAATATAAATTGAATATTTAATTCAATAATCTAACCGCTAATAATTCAAAGATTTTATGTATGTGTTTGTGTGTATGTCTTTAAAGTAGCCAATTAGTCTTTTTGCAAAAGTTAGTTATGTAATGCAATTAGCAAGCACAAGGAATCTTATTTTTAAATAATTAAGTAAATGGAAATATATGCCTAAACTTTAAAGAGTGTATTTTGTGATCCTTATCTCTTTTGCACCACAATTACCTTTTTAAAAGATATGAAATGATGTAATTATTCTAGAAAAGCACTCTCAATTATTGCACACACTCCATATAATTGTATATATATATATTTTTTTTTAGTATTGAAAAATAGTATATAGTGTAGGAGTGCTAAAATGGAAAATATAGCAAAATGAGGTTCCACGTGAGTTTTCATCAACTGAGTATGTTTATTTATTTATTTTTTATATATTTTATTTTCTCTTTTGTTTTTAAACTTCGATTAAATAGTTTTAAAAATTACTGTAGAACTAAAGGATTAGGTTCCCAGAACGATTTCTTTTTGGGTCATCCAAAGAACGGTGTGACAGAGGATTCTAGAGTAGGTGTGTAGTCCGAATTCGGTTCAAGTCGTCATAAGATGTTTTTATTACAATATAAATTGTGTTTTTAGTTTTCACACATTATCTCAAGTTTCACGCATTATTTGAAAGGGCGAATTACCAAAAAATAAAAATAATAAAAACACCCTCGACTTTCACCCATTTACATCTACTTCTGAATATTTTTAGCAATTAACCCTCCTCAACTATCAAGAAGGGGGCATTTTAACTAACATGTATTTGAGTGATTGTGTAAGGAAATTTTTTGAACAAAATTACCGTTAACATCAAACACCCATTTGAGTGGTTGTGGGAGAATTATTTTGGACCAAAATTACCCTTCAAATCAAAACAATTCATTATTTCTAAAGTTCCCACCACTTATTCCCTTTTTTTTTTTTTTTTTTTTCCTTTTTTCTAGCACTCAAATGGATAGTTAAAAAAACATTAATTAAAGACTCAAATGACAATAATCTTCCAAAATGAAAGAAAGATATTAAGATAGTTGAAAAACTTCATTTGGGTCTTTTTTTTTTTTTTGCCTTTTGTTGGTGACCAATAATTATCAGTTTGATGATGACATATTTTGGTCTTATTGTTTGGACACATGTTTGTCAGTTATATATAATTTTGATGCATATGGTTTTTTAGTTATTAATGTATTCAAGGGCTTTGGTAAACATGTTGGATTCATTTATGCTAATGGATGCCTGGACATATGTCTTATTGTCTGTTATGGTTGTTAATGATGGAAATAAATTTTCTAAGGGACAAATGGTTGCTTGTCAATTATGGATGTATTGAAGGAAAAAAAAAATTGAGAATGTATCTGAATGTGTTTGTAAGCAGGTTGCATTCAACCATTGTTTGGTTAATGAAATATATAGGATTCAATAAACAAGTGTTTTTTTTTTCTTCACCAAAATCAATTTAAATTGACATTTGATAATAACTATATATATCCCAAATGCAAAACATTTCGAAAGAAAAAATTAAAGGCCTTATTTTAGTGTTTTATGCAGTTAAAAAAATAATAATAAAATAAAAATAAAAAAAGGTGAGCGGTGGGCACTTTAGTAATAATGTACTGTTTTGATTTTAAGGGTAATTTTGTACGAAAATTTTCTCACACAATTATTCAAACGGATAATTCATATTAAGGGTAATTTTGCCTAAAAATTTTCCTCACACAATTACTCAAACTCTAACAAGGTTAATTAAAATAACCCCATGATAGTTGAGGACTATTAATTGTTAAAAATATTTATTAGGGTGTTTTTTTTTTTTTTTTTTTTTGTTTTTGGCAAATAGGTAGAAGTTGAGAAAGATTTTTGGCAATTTGCTCTATTTGAAATAACATGTTAAAATTAAATTAAATTGTTTTAAAGACACCAACAACATGGTGTTGTGTGCTTTACGTAAGGCAAATAGACATTCGTTCAAAATAAATTATTTCAAAACCATCACTTCTTCCCAAAAAAAATAAATAAAAAATAAAAGATGGATGCAATTATTTCAAAACCATCCCTTTTGCCGAAAAAGATTGGCACAACGCATTCGAATATATGTACATATACATGGATGTATGTGTGTGATAGAGAAATAATTTTAATGATATTCCTTTTGATTTTCAAAGCACTGGTCCCAATTGGACCAACTCGGCAGTCTGCACTCACATTGTCTATTAATATGTATGAAATGACACTAATACTATATTTGGCTAGAGGGGTGATTGATGCGGGATGAATGAGAGGGGAATAAACTAACTTTCATCCCCACTTTATTTATATTTTTTTTATTCATTCAAAATTGAAAGGAAGAAGAGAAAGAAATAAATAATAGCTAACACAAATATAAAATTTTTATTTTTAATCTTCTTAAAAATTTGAAATAGATATAGAATTTTTAAATAATGAGGGCATATTAGTAAAAATAATATAAAATTTTTATTTCTCTTCCTTCTAATCAAACAAAAAAAATGTGTCACACATCCTTTATTTTTACTATTCACTTCATTCAACCAAACAAAAATTGAGAGAGACGCATTTCATTCCCTAAGATGTTTCTTCCATTCCTTCCATCTATTTTTCTATTTCTCTAACCAAACGAAACATAAATTTCCAACCCACCGTCTTATGTGAAAACAATGGGTGCAACAAGACTTTTGTATTTGAACACAAGCAACCCCCTTATCAAATTCTCAAATAATTCTATGTTAAGAACTTTTGAAGCCTTCCCTTCTAACTTATATTCACAAGGATTTTTTTTTAACAAAATCTTTGAGTAGCAGAGTAAGAAGAATAAAAATCAAATTGATCATCTTTAGTAATTCCATCTCGTGATCATGCAATTCTTTGAGTTCAATGCATATGTAATCAACAATATATGAAGATTATTCATCGTATGGTCATATCTTGATTTATTTATTTTTAATTAAACAAGGTGCTCATTTTGTACCAACCGGCCAAAGTCAAGTGGTAATATTAAATTTATTAAGGTAAAGTGCAAAAATAAAAAATCATGTTATATAATGAATGTACAAATAAGTACAAATACTTCCTTGGCATTAAAATAAATCCTTACATTTTTCAAATCGAATAAATAAGGACATTTTGTCAATTTAAAAACTGAATTACCTAATGTCCTTGAGATAATATATATAAACACATTAACTTCATAAAAAACTGATTATTAAGGTTATTTTTGGGTTCTGATAAAAAAAAATAGATAATTTCCACATTCTTTTTAAATGTTTGGAATTTTTATGTACATTCTAACACGGGAAACAGGTCCCAAATGTGTTGGGCCATATTCTTATTCAATTTAATTTAAGTTTCGGAATCCATTGCCAAATGTAAACATCGAACAAAAGGTTAAAGTGACCGGACTGGCCCGAAATAGTAAAACCATATATCTACCTAGGCTTGGAATTCTGGCCTCTAATAGAAGCGGAAACTTTTGGGTTTTTGTTTTCTTTCGAAGCGGAAATAACAGCAGCTTGATTTGTAATTTTAAAATTTTTTATCAGAAACTCAAAAAATAGAGAATAGTTTTCAGAGAATAATAAAAGACTATTTTTTGAAAACAGATATTTTTATAACTGAGTTATCAGAAAACTGAACCAAACAGGAGTTTTTTTATTCAGTTTTCAGTTTTCTGAGAACAGAAATTGTTTCCATAATTACAAACTAAGCATGCCCCTTTTTTGTTGTGGAGTGTGCTTTGTAATGATTGGAAAGCATGTGTTGGTAGACCTGTCAATGGAGCGGATCTTGATCCGAATCCGATCCGATTAGTCGGATATGGATTGAACAAAAAATCCGATAATCCGATTATGATCCGAATCCAATAATCCGTTAGCTTAACAAATCGGATATGGATTATGATGATCTGATCTGACGCGATTAAAACTATATATATAAATAATTATTTATCAATAATTTTACATATATATATATATCTATATATATCAATACTCCTATTAAAATTGTATTAGAAGTAACCAAAAAAAAAAATTGATCATAATGTGATATATACAACAGTGTGGTGTTCTCATCCACGTGCTAATAAATTTATATATATTAATTATTTATCATTATGTTCATTTGATTTCATAGTTATATTATGTAACATTCTGTATATTAGCAATTCTCCACTTCATCTAACTTTATAATTATATATGTTAGTAAATATGATTTTAATTCAAATTTGAATCCGATTCGATCTGAGTCCGAGCTAAATAGGATATGGATTGGGACATTTAGTCAATGTCCCAGAACCCGTTAGTGATCCAAATCCGATAATCCATTTGCTTAACAAATTGGATATGAATTTGATCGATTCGATCCAAATCCGATCCGTTGATAAGCCTATGTGTTGGTAACATAAAATTTGTTGCAAGATCTTTGGAAGCAAAAACATGAAGACATGTTTGATAAAAAAAAATGTTGTAAATTTGAAAAATATAATGACTAGTTTAAAACAGTCATTTAAGAGTTTTTCAATTTTTTTTTAAAGTATTGTTCATCAGTGTTGTTGCTACAGTGTAAAAATATGTAAAATATTAAATTGGTATTTTGATTTTGGGACACAATATATTCAACATTTTGATACAGCATAAAATAAATGATTATGTACCAAAATGTTGAGGCTAAGAACAATGCTACGGTGCCAGATCCAAAACAAAAAATACGAGACTAAGACGCACACCAAACAGATCTAAAATC